TGACCGGAATCGAACCCGAACCTTTCAGTCCACAGGCCAACGCTCTATCCACTGAGCCACACCGGCCAGGGCTGCCCGCTCCTGTTCCTCATGCCAACACCCTGGTTGAGGCCTCACTGATGTGTATTGCAGTGCACCGACCAAGCAGCTGCTGAGTCCAGCACCGCAGAGGTGCGTGCACCCCCCGGGGCAGGGCACGCCTCCAGCCGCCCGAGGGGACTCCGTGACCCTCCAGGTCAGTGCCCTTCACCCCAGGCATCACTTCCTCCATCTCAAATGCGAGCTGCATCCTCTCACTTCCCACTTCAGGACCTTCTGTGGGGTTTCCTTCCCCTTCTCCTGCTGCTTTGGGTCCGCAGGTCTCTGCCTGGAGTTCACGGTCCTCTGTGCTGGGCCACTGGGCCTGCAGCGACCCGAGGCCCGTCTCTGTTGGGCTCCACGGGGGGCTTGGCTCCCTGTGTCCTTGTACAACTGCCCTCGCCGTGGCTTCCCCACCGCACACCCCGCCTGCCGGCTCCGCTCAAGTCCCACTTCCTCCAGAAAGCCCGCCGGCTTTGCCAAAAGGTTTCCCAATGTCTCCACCTCCCTCCACACCCTGAACGAGCTGTCACCGTGTGGCTGGGTGTCTGCAAAGTGCTGGCACCTGGACGCCCGCCGGGATGCCACTCCTCCTCCCGCTCCCGTGGCCGGTCCGTCGTGCGCAGCCGCAGCTGGGCTGCAACCCCTTCTCCCCTCGCTCTCCCACCTCTCCCGACCCAGACCCCGCTCTTCACTACCCAGCTCAGCCCATCCTCTCCCAGACCGCAGGGCCCACCAGCCGTTCTTCAGATGTGACGCCAAGAACTCTGGTCTGGCCGGTGTGGCTCAGTGGCAGAGCCTCAACCTATGAACCAGGAGGTCACAGTTCAGTTCCCAGTCAGGGCTCAATCCCCGGTGGGGGACGTGCAGGCGGCAGCTGGTCCATGATTCTCTCTCATCACTGATGTTTCTCTCTCTCCCTCTCCCTTTCTCTCTGAAATCAATAAAAATAGATTTAAAAAAAATCCCTGCGACTAGGCTCCCAGGCTGCGTGCAAGCAGCCCCCATGCGGGAAAGCTTCCTCCCCGTCCCGCACTGTTGCTGGTCAGGCCTCCCCCTGCCCCGGGTCCCCCTGCAGCAGCGATTCCCAGGTCAGCTCAGCCCTCGGGCTCCCCCTCTTCCCCTCCCTCCTCCCTTCTTCCCCTCCTGGACCACATGGTGTTTGTTTCCCAGCTGGACACTCCGCTAAGTGGTGCAGGAAGTAGGCCCCCAGGGAGAGAGGCAGCCAGCGGAGCTGATAACCAGTGACCCAGGGACGCTCGGGCGCCTTGGGGCCGGGCCCGGGTCAGATAAGCGGAAATGCCAGGCTTATCGGCTGCCTGAGTTCTGGAGAGGTGTCCCTGCCGGCCAGCCCACCCCACTCCCCGACTCCCGCGGGCGGGTGGCCAGGCATCTCCAGGGGAGTAAACACGGAGTTGGAAGAGCCCCGCGCCCGCGGCAGGATGAGGACTCTGTGCCCGTCTCCGGCACTGCGCGGCCCGGGCGCCAGGGGCCACCCACGGGCGTCAGGTTACACCCAGATATTCGCGGTAAGACAGCCTCTGGCCAGGCTGCTTTCCAGTGGGAGCCGGGGAGCAATTGTTATGGCGACAGCTGGTCCCCAGACCGGGGGCCTCCAGCAGGGTCCAGGCCGGGTTGGTCACCTGAAGGAGGCCATGGCAGACCAGGCCGGGGAGCTGCCCCGTGTTGTTCGGTCGGGACCCTGCAAGGCTGGCTGGGGCTCTGGTCACCTCTGGGGTCCTTTCCTCCGTTCCACATGCGCCTCAGCTAACGGGGCCTGCAGGGAGGGGGCCTGGGCGGGCAGGTGCCTGCAGGGAGGGGGCCTGGGCTGGTGCCTGCAGGGTAGGGGGCCTGGGCGGGCAGGTGCCTGCAGGGAGGGGGCCTGAGTGGCTGCTTCGTTTCCCACCTTCGCACCGTGAAGCTCTTCTTCGCTCTCTGCTCCGACCGCGGGACAGCGTCTGCCGGACCCGAAGGGGACGTGCTTCTATGTTATTGGATTGACATGGCGAGACGCAGACCCAGGACCCTTCGGTCCGAGGGCCGACGCTCTACCCACTGAGCCACACCGGCCAGGGCTTAAACTTTGCATCTAACCTGCCTGCCAGCGCCCAGCTGCTGTCGGAGGGGAGGCCTGCTGTCATGCCGCCGTCAGTGCTCTGACCGGGACTTTCCCTCTCATTTTGGGGAGACGGCTGTTACCCCGTGTGCTAGAGCTGCATGAAGGCGGTGGGGGTGCAGTTGCTGACTGCTTGGCTCAGTTGGGGATGATCAGATGGACCCACAGAGCCAGCGCGTCCCTCCTGACACAGTCCTCTGACCCCCAGGGAGGGTGGGGTCCTCCTCGCCACACCCAGGTGGGGGAGTGGGGGCCGCCGCTCTGGAAGGAACCCCTCAACCTTGTATTTCTGTTTCCCTCTTCCTCCACCTGGGGGCTCCGGGAAAGCTGGCTGTCACTAGACAGGCCAGCGAAGAGTCTTGGGGTTTAGTGGGGCTGACGCAGCCCACGGCAAACCGAGGTCAGCCCGTGGCTTTCAGGAGTGGATCGGCTGCCCGTGCTCACCCGGGACCCCAGCCGGGCTCTCCTGGGGCGGCCCAGAGCCTGGGGCCCAATCCCTCTGGTCTCCCTCTCTCCCTCTGAGGGCCTGGAAGGAAGCGGAGAAGGTGAGCGGCTCCCCAGCGGCCTGGGGACTCAGTGGCAACCCCCACGTCCCCACCTGAGGTCAACTTGAGCATTTGCTTTCGTCGGCTTCATGGAATGCCTTTCCGTCCAAGTTCCACCGGAAACAAGAGCCGTGAGGCCCAGATGCCTGGAGACCACAGGGAACCGGGCCTCTGGGTCACTGGGGCCTGACCCCCGTCGGTTTCAGGGGCGTCGCTGTCCGGGGAGCAGGCCTCGCTGTCAAATGTGCCCCTGAGGGCCCGGGAGGAACACGACTGCGGAGAGCGCTGGGCGAGGACAGCCGGCCGTTGGGCCTCACTTCTATTTTTAGATGCGAGTGCCGAGTGAGGAGGGCCTGGTGTGGGGACTCACCCACAGGCAGCCTGACACTGTGGGGACATCTGCGAAGTAGGGGCACCGACGTGTCTTAATTAATCAATTTTTATTTGAGAGAGAGGGGAAGGGAGAGAGAAACAGCAATTTGTTGTTCCACTTATCGGTGCATTCACTGGTTGATTCTTTTTTAATTTTTTAATTATTATTTTTCAGTTGATTTCAGAGAAGAAGGGAGAGGGAGAGAGAGAGAGAAACATCAATGATGAGAGAGAATCATGGGTCGGATGCCTCCTGCACCCCCCACACTGGGGATCAAGCCCGCAAGCCGGGCCTGTGCCCTGACCGGGAATTGAACCGTGACCTCCTAGTTCATAGGTCGATGCTCAACCACTGAGCCCCGCCAGCCGAGCCATTGGTTGATTCTTATGTGTGCCCTCACCCGGGATCGAACCCGCAGCCTTGGCATATCGGGACAACGCTCTCACCTACTGAGCTACCCGGCCAGGGCCCAGGTTTTGTGTTTAATTTGCAGAAGCTTTGCCTGTTTCACTCGGCACACGTCAGAGCGGCCTTGCCTTTGTTCTCGGTCTTGCTTTTCATTGTGAATGTGTGTGTGTGTGTGTGTGTGTGTGGGTGTGTGTGTGTGTGGTGGGCGGGACCCCACAGCCCTGGGATCCCTGAGGCCCCTCTGGGAGTCCAGAGGAAGGACCCCCGCCCTCTAACCTTCGGTTGCAGCCACAGGAGCTCCCGCCTGCCATGGGCAGATTCTTCAGCTGTCTGCCCATCAGCACCCTCTCAGGGAGGAATGTTCAGTGGTGCCGTGATGTCAGAGGGGCCCCAGGAGCAGGGCCTGGGCCAGACCCGCCTCCCTCCCAGCTCCCTCCCGGCAGAGTGGGAGATAAGCGAGGGCTCAAAGGGAGCCCGCAGGTCCTGGCTGCGTGACCGACCGGGGATCGCTGTGCGGGCACTGGGCACGGCGGCAGCTGTTAGCGCCCAGAACCATCACCTTGCAGACGCCACCGCCCCAGTGAGGCCGGGCCCTGCGTGCGCCCCCCAGCTCTCCCTATCCAGCCTGCGCCAGGATGTCGGGGGCCTCCAAGGAG